TTGGTGCTAACAGTTAAACATGGCGGCGGCAGCATTATAATTTGGGGGTGATTTGGTGCAGCTGGAACAAGCAAAATAGTACGCATTGATGGCACAATGGACTCTGTAATGAACCAAGCAATTTTGAAATGTCTTACCCTCGATTAGAAAGTTGGGTGCTGGATTTTCGAACAGGACAATGATCTGAATCATCAAATCAAATCCATAAAAGAGTGGATTCGAAAAAAGAAATTCAATTAAAAGTATGCGGTCCAAGTTAAAGAAGGAAGCACATGCAAAAGATCCGGGTTAATATCGAGCAGTTGTGGGAGCTTTGCCAAGAAAAATGGTCAAAAATTGACGCTCGCTTCTGCCAGAAACTCCTTAAAAATTATAGAAAAAGACTGGTCGACGCGATGGCCTCAGAAAGAGGAGTCACCAAATATTAAATCTAAGGGTTCAATTACTTTGGAACATCTTAACTTTTAATTAATATTTTTATTTCAGCTTAATAAACGTTTTTTAAGTGTTTTTCTTAATGTATATATCGTTTAATTAAGATTTGTTGATTATCTGGAAAAAGAGACAATTTTTAAAAATATCTATGGGGTTCACTTATTTTGCACATCAGTCTGTGTGTTTTATATGCCAATGCATATAAAAAACTTTGTAAACTGGTTAAAATCACCCTGCATCATAATTGTGAATTTGGAGTCTTACGTTGGTTAGTTTTATATACAACACTAGTTAACGTCGGTAATTTTACCCCAGACGATTAATTCTACCTAATCTGGTCCCATACTAATATTATTTACTCAAAGCTTCTTATTGAGCAAGAGGACAGTACGCCAACAAAGTGATGCTGGAGTACAAATATACGAAACCGATAAAACTCATGATGACTGAGTGTATTTAGAGATTCGGGTCCAGCTGTGCTGGTCAAAACTCTCTGCCTCCGTCAAGGCTACGTCAAAGAACAGAGTCTCGTTTCGAGAAACAGCTACTCGACCCCGTTCTATACGGAGTCTACGGGGAATTTTTGGCCGGGCCTAAACGGTTCGGATACCCCACGTTAAATTCGGCCTCGTGCCATATCTGACCGCGTGGGGCGGTTGATAGATATCCTGACACAAACTGTTGTATGTTGTCGATCTATGTTCAAACTCAAATATGTCGTTGATCTATTTTCAAACTCAAGTGTCGGTAGCGACACTTGAGTTTGAACATAGATCACCAGTAAGCAATCCCATTATTGAATTAAGTGGATCACATGACCATAGAGGAAACGCATAAGTAGGAGGTAGCGTGACGTCTAAACGATCTCCATTTCTATTCTATCCTCTATTACTATACGGATCGCTATTTCTACCCTGTCCTCTATTCTATACGAGACCGCTATTCTCTATACTATTCCCTATACTATTTCTCTATTCGGATCACTATAGGGATTACTATTCGAGCGAGTATTATCGAGCTAGCACTATTATTGCGAGTGTTATTCGAAGGCGTCTGTCACCATTATTTTTCAACGACGTACTATAGTTGTATCTGCGATTACATAGTGTCTATTACAACGAGCATTGGGAAATTGACAACGATTATTCGCTGACATTACCAGACAAAAGTGTCGACGAGAGTTCGTTGACATCACAAAACAAATATAACAGGCATATGCGTCACAGCCAGATATACAGGATAAAGTGACAGGTTTTGATAAAAGCAACGCAGAACCTTGTAGATGGGACCCAGTTAGAGAATAACTTCAACCTGGTTAACCCAGTCTGCTTAGATAGTTTCCGATTGAATAACGAACTAGTCTACGACTGTGTAATGAACTTAATGATATCAGGGCGCTCCAAACTTGTAACCTTATATCAATAACAGTCATTAATAAACCTAACAAGCGCATGTAAGTGGATGGCAGAACAGGGTTTTGAAGCAATACTAAGGAAAGAACAAGAGATAGCAGGAATAGGAAGTTGTGAAAAGTAATGATCACCCATGTACTGAAGGGACAGAGTACACCGAAAAAGACAAATTGACCCATCCTATTTTAGTATATAATTCCTGCGTGTGATCACATTACACTCAGCGTGATAACAGCAAGAAAAAGTAAAAAAAAAAAGAATTTACCAAAATGATTCCCGAAATTAAAAATACACCCCTGGTCAAAATCTTAAAAACCAGATACAAAGGGGTTAAAAAAATTATAAAATACTGTTACTTTAATCAAAATATATTTGCGAAACATTTACATTTAATTAGAAAATGTAGTTTATTAACAAACAAGTGAACATTATAAGCTTTTAATTGATTAATTTAAACAAACATTGAAAAAAGGATTTTTCGGTTGGTCATAAAGATAAGACCATGTGTGAAAAAAAACAAATTACTCGACAAAAATTTTAGAACTAGTCGGTGTGCTCATAGCTTCAGGCGTGTAGACATCTACGTAGCTCATTTCCAATATTAAATTGCAGATTTTAAAATGGCTAAGGATAAAATTTTAACTAAGTTCGAACAGGGCAGGATTGTTGAATTTCAAAGACGTGGTCTTTCGCAACGAGCCATTGCAAATGAAATTGGCCGTAGCAGAACTGTCATTGCTAACTTCATTAAAAATCCAGATGCGTATGCTTCTAAAATAATCAAGCGTTTGCCCCAATAAAATACTCGCCTTTTTCTTCGCCACAAAACCTCCCGTTTACAATTTGCTTCCGATTATCAAACTTGGGATGTGGATAAATGTAAGAAAGTATTGTTTTCAGACCGTTACTGGCATGCAAAAGATGTCCCAAAAGAAATTTTCTCAACATGACACAGTGGAGGTGAATCAATTATGGTCTGGGTTTCATTTTCGCACAATGGAACTCTTGAGTTACAGGAGGTAAAAGGTCGTCAAACAGCTACTAGTTACATTGATATGTTACGAAAAGCATCGCTAATTACTGAAGACCCTCATCTATGTGGAGAAAACTGGATTTTCCACCAGGACAATGTTGCAATCCACAACGTTCTCCAGATCGAAACCCAATCGAGAATGTTTGGGGATAGATGGCAAAGGATATTTATAAACATAGATCGCAATTTGAAACTGTAGATACTCTTCTTGTTGCAGTTTATGCATCCTTGGCGAACATCCTAACACCCTCATGCAGAAGTTAATGAGTATGCCAAAGCGAATTTTCGAAGTAATTCGCAAAAATGGAGGATATATACTGAGAATTAAATTGTCGTTGTGACTTATTTGTTCTGTATTTGCTATTTTTATTTACATGATCTTTGTGACCAACAAAAAAAAAAATCCTTTTTTCAATGTTTGTTTAAATTAATCAATTAAAAGCTTACAATGTTCACTTGTTTGTTGATAAACTACATTTTCTAATTAAATGTAAATGTTTGCAAATATATTTTGATTAAATTAACAGTATTTTATATTTTTCTCACCCTTTTGTATCTGGTCTTAAGATTTTGAAAAGAGGCGTATGTCTTATCTCAATAGATTTAAAACTCTTTTCTCACTTTGTTATATAGGAATAAAGTGTCGCTGCCGATACTTGAGTTTGAACATAAAACGACAGTGAGCAAACACATGCAATCCCATTATTAAATTAAGTAGACCCTGTGACCATAGAGAAAAAAAAAAGCATATATGGGAAGTAGCGTGTGTCTAAAAGATCGTCATTTCTATTCTATCCTCTATTATTAGTCGGATCTACATTTCTCCTCTATTACTCTACAGGCCACTATCCACTTCTCTACTCTATTCTGTATTCGGTTCAATACGGTGATTACTATTTGAGCGAGTATTATCGAACAAGTACTATTAGTGCGAGTGTTATTTGAAGGCGTCTGACACCACTATTGTTCAACGGCGTTACTATAGCTGTATCTGCGATTACAAAGTCTCTACTACAACGAGCATTACGAAAAGGACAACTGGTATTCGTTGACACTACAACAATTTCAAATGAGTGTTCCTTGATATCACAAAACACTTGAAACTGATTTAATACAGATATTTAAAATAGTAAATTCAGTTGATGGCATAGGTTTTAAAAACTATTTCACTAAAAGCTATTATACATTCACCAGAGGATATTCATTAAAAATTTATCATCAGAACATACGAAAATAATATTTCACAACAGGTAGCGAATGAATGGAACATCCTCCAATGACAAAGTTTTGGGCGTTTTCAAAAAGGAGATCAAAATACATTTTGATTATATTCGTAGATGGTAATTGTATTTGTATACAAGGTGCTTCTTATACTGTCTTAAACACTTTTTTAATTCAATGTCTCGATGATTCCTGTTTTTGTATGTTGCCGGCGTTCTTTGTATATCTTTTACCTTCCGTTTCTTTCTCCATTTTCGCCTAATGGCCGTGGGGTTAATAATAATAATAATAAGTAAATAAAATAATTCGTTAATCCGAAATTGGTGAACGCTGAAGAATTTTCTTTTTTATATTTTGGAAGCATTTTTATAGGACCCGCGTTTTTGTGGGCAGTTCCAAACTTTTTCTTTCAATGACACGAAACACAATTTTCTATAGATAGAAATAAACGACGATCATGTCAGTGACACATGAACGCCATCAGCGTAGATTAGTGCAAATGAATGGCAAAACAGGGAAGGATGATACTGGGAAAAACATTGCTTGGAACTCTGAAGGATAGGAAGGCATGGAGAGCTATTATCACTCATTTTCTGAAGAGACACAGCACATACAAGACCCCCCCCCAAAAAAAAACAAAAACAAAAGGATCCCGTATTTTACGCTTTTGTTTTATATATAGAACATTTATAAGATTTGTTGAGGCATGGTTTGCTACCAGTGTTAGAAATCATTGTTTAAATCAGGATTTCGAAGGTAGACAAGCCCCGCCCAGCTTGCAAAACTGACGCAACAAGAACATCGGTGAACTGCCTTTGAAAAGGGTTTACTAGTTGAACAGCTATTAAATTAATGGTTTTTCATGTTCAAAGAGGAGCCAAATTTGGGGAAGAAGTCACATGGAGCATCTGTGCGGAATGAACTCACAACTAATGATTTACATATCTAGTCACGCCAGCCATGACACCGTGAAAGATGGCATATCTCTGATTTTTGTGAAGTTACTCGCCTGCCGTTGTATCATTTCTCTATCATCATCCGCATGTCATTTGGACCAATTTAGACTATTCAATCTCCCTTGCTTCTATTTAATCATTTCAACGCAAGCAAGCCAGAACAATTATCCTGAGAGTCTTTATAGAAAAGGCACACAGAAGCGACATTACGGCGATGGGAAAGAGACATTAGCCGAGATGCCAGGTCGGGACCAATGACATTGCAGAATCCCATTGATATTATATCTATCTATCGAATGTATGCGTCTATGTATACTGTTTAAAATCAGACATATTTCTAGAAGATTGGTTTCTGAGCGTTTATAGATACAGACAATACGAGAATAGCAATAATCACTGTTGATTCCTCTGTCCACACTGTGCTTATATATATATATATATATATATATATATATATATATATATATATATATATATACCGTGTAACAGTAAAAAGTTTATCTTCAAACCCTTGTTGTTGATAAACGTCGGAAGATTAATTTCTTGCGTGGTGAAATGGCCATAGAGATGGGGTATTTTTGACTTTCATTTATATATATATATATATATATATATATATATATATATATATATATATATAGCCTGCTTCTTTCTCACTCAGTAATAATAATAATAATAATAAAAGTAAAAACATTTCTACTTTTGAAGCAAATTATATATATATATATAATTTGTTTCAAAATTAGAATTGTTTTTATAATTAATAATAATAATCAAAATAAAAACAATTCTACGTTTCAAGCAAATTTTATATATATATATATATATATAGTTTGCTTTAAAAGTAGAATTATTATCATTATTATTATTATTACTGAGTGAGGAAGAAGCTGACTAAAAAAGCTACGGTAGAGTACAAATTTGAAAACCACAGTATACCCCTCATGGCACCCAGTTTAATATGCGTATACTAAACATGCATCCCAGCTAGTTAGTTGCGATATGGTGACGCGTTTTGATAGCGAAATTAGAAATACCTTGGAGTTGATAACACAGTCTGGCGAGTTGGTATCCGACTGAGGACCTTTCGAAGAATCACGATGTGACGGCTAAGTTACCTTAGCTGCTTCTCCCATCAAACATAAAATAAACAATCGTCTAGACACCCAGTTGTGAAACTCATCGACTACTTCCACTTATGAACAGAGATACACAGTGCTTCCGCCATTGGGGAACATTAACTATTGGTTAAGGTGCGGTAATTGATATGCAAATCTCCGGGATATTTACTGTAGCTCATCAAATCCCCAAGACAAATATGTACATGTTAACACCTTCAATCAAGATCATAAGCTCTGAGTATTATATCTGGTGTAGCATCACAGCATATTATTATTATTATTATTTCTATGGTTATCGCAAAATTCTGATTGCTGTCAAAACTTCCACCATCTTTCCAACTGTCTTTTTATCTCGGTCTTTACTTGAAATTTTACTTCTTCCAGTTATTATTATTATTATTATTTTCTTTGATTTCTGGCGTTTACACATTTCTTTCCGGGTCCCTAAGGTTAGAAATGGCACCATGACACTTTCCACTGACAAAACAAAAAAAAAAAAAAAAAAAAAATTACATAGATAAAGCCCTTCGTAAAGGGTGGGCTGTACTTGTCAGAACAATTTTTTGTATTTCTTTGAGGTATGGACTTCCAGGGATCCCTTCAATTAGTCTACACTACTGGAATCTTTTCCAACCAATCCTAGGGCTCCAACTACAACAGGGATTGTTGATGTTCCCATATGCCACATTTTTGAGTTTTCTATTTCAAGGTCCTTGTATTATGACAGCTTTTTGAATATCTTCAAAGATACATTGCAGTCTACAGGGACTGCCATATTAAGAAGGAGGCACTTTTTGTGGTCTTTAATAACAATGTATTATTATTATTATTATTAACACTTAGAGAAGAGCACAATTTAAGAAGACAAAGAAAAGACCCTAAGTTTGGTAATGTTCAACAATATTTCGACAGTATGACTGTCTTCATGCTGTGTTAAAAAATTGTATACAAGTATAAAAAATTCTACAAAAAAAAAAAAAAAATACGAGTCTTTGTACAAACGTAGCTTGTCTTCAGAAAAAATTTTGTACTGGTAAACAGCGGATGAAAAGTAGACAGCATGCAACTGAAACGTGAGTAATATGATGGTAATCGTGCACATCTTAAAATTTTATGTTAGTTGTTTAGTTACTAAGAGGAATTAATCAAACAGCTTAGTATAAATGATAGGGAATTCTCCCGTCCTTCGTTTAATTCCCCTGGGGCGGGAAGTTAGTAGTTGTCTGCATATGTGACTGTCCTCATACATTTTAAGGGTCGCATGGTCAGTGAATGCTTGAACATTGTCAAACACTGTCTTTTATTTTTATTTCCTTAAAATGTGCACTTCTCTAGGCGTTTCAAAAACATTGGAAGAGTTACGTCAATCATTTTAATTTAACGAGTAAAGCCTGAGGTTCTTGGGAAAGATCATCATTCTTTGAACCTTTTGGATTGGTGCTACAGAATCAAAAACAAAGAACTGTACCAAATAACAGAAACTACATCGGTTGATGACTACCAAGAGCGGCAACAACTAAAACGGATAGCACATATAACTCAAGAGAAAATAATGATATAATAAAGATGTTAACATTCCACACCACTCTAAATAGAAGGTTCGGAAGCAGACCCCCCATCAATACTGGAAAGAGCGATAAAAGCTACTAGACTTAAGAAACTTGTTTTCCTTAAAAAGTATTTTAAGTAAAAGATTTTATAAATTTCAACTGAAACCAATACTGGCTGTTCGGTCAATGAATACCAAATGTTTCCTTGTAGGGAAACGATTACCATTATCATTATTATCGTGTTTTTGAATCTGTTTCTTTGTTTTACGAGTTGCTTCCAAGTTTCAACCAGAAATCTCAAGAGATTGCAAGTCAATAGATCCTGATTTTTGGGACAAGTGGTTGAATATATCGCCGACATTTTTCTTCATTGTATGATGCCAGATGATTGTATATAGAAGTTTAAATTTTCATTAAAATATTCATGTAACTGGAGGAAGAGGCAGCACAGAGAAAAATTAAGGTCTTAAAAGAGTGACCGTTGCTGATAGCAAGAAAATGTGAAGAAGTTGTGGAGAATCATGAACACCGACGTCTTGAAGGGATATGACACATAGATAGAGATAGATAGCGCGCGCGCTCGCGAGAGAGAGAGAGAGAGATATTCATACATTTACAAGTTAGTTTATGAAGAGTCTCTTTTTTCTAAGGTGGGTGGGTTACAGGACGTATCCCACCACCAAATGATAGATCCCGGTGACTCTCCAATCAGAAAGACACCCTGTAAGGAACTCTAGACTTTCGACGTAGACAATAACTTGTTTCCACATCGACCATTGAGAATGAGACGCTATTCAATTCCACCGGCAGCGACAACATTTTCAGATTCGACTCGTGTGGTTTCTCTTTAATTATCCAAGGATTTCAGCTTCTTTACTTGGCATTCCTCCGAGATTTAACTGAAAACTTTCAGATTTATTTCACACATCCACCTACCAGTAGCAGGAAAGAATAGTGAACACAGTATTTTTACAATTCTATCTACCTACCGTATGAGCCAAGCCATCTTTTAAAAATAGAAGCTTGTTGTTTACGAATAAATAAATCCGGAACCGAATTCTAGTGTTTTCTTTTTCCGATCACCAACTTTACACTCATCTGTCACTTTATTACGTACACTTTTCTAGTACTGAATTGGACCGTCTTTTATCTTTAGAACCCAAAACATCTTGATCTCCTGGAAGCACCTTTTCAAAATTTGGGTTCTTGCTTTTATTATGTTTGATGATGTCAAGAAACACTCGTTGCCACTTTGTAATGCCAACGAATACTCGTTGTTATTTTCGTAATGCTCGTTGTAGTAGAGACTTTGTAATCGCAGATACAACTATAATACGCTGTTGCACAATGCTGGTGTCAGACGTCTTCAAATATCATTCACACTAATAGTACTTGCTCGATAATACTCGCTCGAATAGTAATCCGTATAGAGAAATAGTATAGTGAATAGAGCAGAGAACAGCGAACCGTGCAGCAACAAAGGACAGAATAGAAGTGCAGATCAATCTAGACGTCACGCTACTTCCATATATATATTCGTTTGCTCTATGGTCACCTACTGCACAATAATGGGATCGCCTGTGTTTGCTAACTGGCGATCTATGTTCAAACTCAAGTGTCGGCAGCGACACTTTAGTCCTATATAACATTATGGCATCCCATAATGCTTCTAGCTTGGCTTCGTGCGAACCAGGATTTCAATATCCCTTTCTTCATCCCAAAGGTTCTCTATAAGACTGAGATCGGGTGATTTTGTCGGCCATTTTAACACAAAATCACCTTGCTATCTTCCGTGAACCAACCTGCCTCTAATTTTTAATTGTGTCATGACGCATTGTCCTACCAGCAGTCCTCACCAGAGAATGGGTGCGCCAAAGATATAAATTGAGTCGAGTGGTCAGCTACAGCATCGAGGTCAGCAGTATCATTTAAACAATCTTTTATTGGTTCCAATAGTTCGAATGTACGCCAAGAAAATATTCCCGGCACCACTAGCACCAGTAGCGTGCCGAAGGAGGGTACTGGGTGCGACGGCCCTGGGCATCCATATCGCGAGGGAATCCAATCAAAGAGTAAATAAAATTTTTATTTTATGAAATTTGAAATTGTTAACTTCGGTGTACAAGTTCCCTACAGTCCCACAAGCTGGTGAAGATGTGGGTCCGTGTTTTGAAAAGCAAGACAGGTGTAGGTCGCCATACCTGAGTCTTAGGGGCATATAATCAATGAGATGGCTCCGGGCATCATCAAACCTCTGCACGTCACAGCCACCAAGAACACACTGAACGGTTGATAGAAAGCAAGAAATATTCATACATTCTTGTTGTTAACGCCAAATATTCACCTTACCATCCGAATGTTGCAGAAGAAATCGACTCATCAGACCGGGTAATGTTTTTCGATTCTTTTATTGTCTAATATTTTTTGTGATCCTTAACGAATTGTAGCCCCAGTTCCTTGTTATTGTTTCTTCGGCATGGCATTCTGATGCTTCAAGATTCGGCATTCAGACATGCTTTTCTGTATACCTCAGTTGTAAAGAGTGTTTTTCTTAGACTTTCTATCAGCTTAAACCAATCTGGTCAATCTCCTCAACTCCTTTAATTAACAAGGGATTTCCTTTTACAGTATTGTCACTCTGGAATTTCTTTTTATGATCATTCCTATAATCTCTAGAGGTAATTTTGTGTAAAAATACTAGTATATTAGCAGTTTTCAAACACTCAGACTCGACCCTCTCTTTTTTTCCAATACTAATACATATAATGAAATCCATTACATTACGTCGATGTTTGGGCATGTCGACGTGGTGTAATGGTTAGCAATAGATAGATCAATTTACGACTGAGTAGTGAGTTCGATCCTCACTGAGAGCGCCATACATTCAGCTTTGTGCCATACGCTTAGTTAATCACTAAATTGCTTCCATGTCATTGGCTGATTAGAAGTCTATATAAAAGAGCATTTGTTCACGTGTACTTAATTAAGTGGTTAGTCTTGCTCGATTGATAGATTTTACCGAAGATCTTTTACTGAGACAACATTTATACTTATTGCCTCTTAATGTACAGGACAGTTATCAGCCAGGAAAAATCTCGTTCATAAGGTAGGGGGATAAAAAAAAAAGGGAAAATACGACACCAAAATCCGAAGAAGCATTTTAATAGCAAAATATGTATTCAAAAATCTAAAAATCTCTATCTATAAAAGGCAGGAAATATGTGTGTGTGTGTAACGAATGCACGGCCGCAATTTTCGACGGTTTTGCAACAAAATTTACATGCACATGCTCCAAGTTAGCAGGGATGGCAAAACCGACTTTGCATTTCCCACCTCCCATCGATAGTGGAAATAATCGATTTTTTCATGCTTCTACGGCAGTTTTCATGTAGTTTGCGACCATTTTCTACTGGTCAGAGTGAGAGCCTGTAGCTGGCTGTCACGATTAAGCATGAAGATTCTATTGGCCAGCGTGAGAGCCAACAGCTGACTGACACGAATGTTAACTAGCATGCAAAAAAATCGATAGCTGCATTCGTCACAAGTGGGAAAAATTTAAATCTGCATGGCACTTTACTCCAATTGGCTCATTCGCTTGCTTAAACTCAACGTTGATTCTGATTCTGCAGAACTGGGTTTGGTGTGAAAAAGTATTTGTTGTTAACCTTCTTTTTTCATTCGGTTTTTCCAGTTACGTGTACTTTTTTAAAGCTGATCGTTTTGTGTTCATTTTGTTTAGTTCTATTTTCGTAACAGATTTAATGTTTAGGGTAGAGCTTAGAAAAAATTCGCAGTGTGAGATAGGAAAGAAGTAAGGCATGTAGCAACATCAGCACGGCAAAGGGCATTCCTTTAAAGGCAAGGAACGCAAAAATATTTTAAGTCAAGTGATAGCGATTGCTGTATAAGTCGTACGATTTTTTAATCAAGCACGGGCAACGCCGAGCCATGCTGCTAGTAAAAAAATAAGTGAATAAATAAACAGGAAAATTTCCTTGGAAACAAAAAAGTACTGAACAACTATCGTCCGATATGGCAGTAAATGTTGGATAATTTCCGCACAGATGAAAAGGAGACTTGAGGCAACAGAAATGTCGTTATACAGAAGCATGCTTAGAATGCCATTGACAGAACATGAAAGCAACGAGAAAGTTTTAAGGAAAATGAAAACAAACAAGGACAATTATACAGAAAATCAGAAAGAAACACTTGAAATTTCTGAGACACATGGGGAAAGACAGCTGAGAAAATTTAACACTAGACATATTGAAATCAGGAGAGTAAGAGGGGAAACAGCGAGTAATCTATCTATTGAGCTTGTTTAAATAGCAGAACATAGATTGCGAAGGATGGTGAAGGGACAAATATTAGAGCTACGAAGAATAGGAATTTGTAGAGGGCTATGACCGCTCACGTGTGCAAATCAAATTATACACTTTCTTAAATAATTTTGGGACGCTGAATACAAAAATCGAGTTCATTTTTATTGGCGAGCTTTATGTTTTGCCACGCAGAACTCAAAAGTTTTTAAAAGCAAAATAACTATTTTTAAATGAATTTTCAATAATGTTCAAATTAATTCTGAATGCTTCGTTCAAGATAAGCATAAATGTTATTGAATTTTTGATTGCTTAAATCTGTTTTTTTATATTATGATAATGCATGATAATGACAGTGTAATTGCTTTTAGTTATGAATGGAAACATTATAAGGTCCTTGGATACAATCTAAACAAATAAACGGTAAATTCTGTCTGTCCATCAGTGTACCTCAAACCCCATTAACTCAGTCCACACTTGCTCTACATAGATATATGCCCTTCATCTGGTGTTTGGATATCCAGAATTGGGATTTGTGTCCGGGTGAAAAGGGAATAATTAAAAATTTAAATTTCAAAATAACTGAAAAAAAAAAAAAACACATTGATTTTAAAAGATTTTAATTTATATTATTTAAAGTAACACAAAAACTTTATGAATTTTATTTTATTTTTTTAAAAAATTAAGTTTAAAATATCTCCAAAAGTTAATGAATTGAGGAAATCGTTTTTATTTTTTCAAAATTCAAAGGAAAAAGAATTGTGCTAGGTTTCGTGGCGTGAGGTTTTGAAATTCAAGAATCTGTGATCTGAAGAATTCAACTCAATTGAAGTTCCACGGAGTATGTGATCTGAAGAACTCAACTCGATTGAAGTTCCACGGAGTATGTGATCTGAAGAACTCAACTCGATTGAAGTTCCACGGGTATGTGATCTGAAGAACTCAACTCGATTGAAGTTCCACGGGTATGTGATCTGAAGAACTCAACTCGATTGAAGTTCCACGGAGTATGTGATCTGAAGAACTCAACTCGATTGAAGTTCCACGGAGTATGTGATCTGAAGAACTCAACTCGATTGAAGTTCCACGGAGTATGTGATCTGAAGAACTCAGCTCGATTGAAGTTCCACGGAGTATGTGATCTGAAGAACTCAACTCGATTGAAGTTCCACGGAGTATGTGATCTGAAGAACTCAGCTCGATTGAAGTTCCACGGAGTATGTGATCTGAAGAATCAACTCAATTGAAGTTCCACGGAGTATGTGATCTGAAGAACTCAACTCAATTGAAGTTCGACAGAATTCCCGATGTGAAGAACTCAACTCAGTTGAAGGTCGACAGAGTTCCTGATGTGAAGAACTCAATAAAACAAATTGTTCTCAGTACTTGAATTTTAATAATCACTCATTGTGTTATAAAAGTGGTATTTTGCAACGGCAAATTCGTTCTACGGAAGAACGCTGAGAATAACACGAACAGAACATGTAAGAAAGTAGGAAGTTTTTAAGGAAAATGGGGATGAAAAAAGAAAACTTATATTTTAGAGTCAGAGGGAGACGGTTGAAATTTATGGGACACATAATGAGGAGAGGGGACTTGGAGAATTTCACACCAATAGGACATACGAGTAACCTACGTAACAAGCTTATAAATGGATGTCAAATAGTGAAAGGCATAATAAAAAAATATTGCTTAGAATTAAAAAGAGTGGCACGTTAAGGAGAGCTGTTATTGCTCACGCCCTGGAGAGACACGGCAAATGGAAAAAGAATTGTGTTAAATTTCTTTCGTATTTCAGAAATAGTTTTATTTCATAGTAAGATTATATTTTAGCTTCAAATGAGCATTTATTCTTTTTTTCTTTACATTTACAATGACCTAACCCAATCAGAATCATATTTCCCGTAGGGATCAGCGAATCTGAAACTAATGACTGAAATAAAATGGAGCTTATTTTTAGATTCAGCATCCAATAATTAGCTAAAACATCCCATACACCATTTCAGAAAACAAAACAAATGCTAGGCTTGTGTATTCGGTTCACTAATCCGTGACATTGTGATCGAACTAACAAAGATGAGGACGCTAGTCTGAATAAATAGATATCTGAGCTAATAATTTGTCATTAACCTCAAGACTTTAATGATGATTTATTGGAATTTTACCTTTATTTCAACTTACAACTATTGGAGTAGTATTTGGATTTTTTTTTATCCTTGTTCGCTTCCAGTCATCTTTCGTGCCAGCTTCCTCAATCCAAGATCGATACAGAAGATTTGGAGGGCAAAGAGCTACAGGCAAATCTTTGGGAAAAAATCACAATCATTGATTATTTAGGACTAATATTCCCATCCCTACGTTTCGACCCGTTCAACAACCAATCCTCTTCAAACATTCTATCGTGAGAAAATAATATTGACATGATATCAGAAAATTCAGCTGAAAACGTGGCGTTCAGAAAAATAATCCAGATGAGGAAAGAGTTAATCAGAGCGACTAGAAGCAGAAAACGACTTAATATAAAACATGCTAATAAAACAGAAAGAAATAAAAAGATGTATTAATTTAATGCATGAAAAAGATCAAAATTGGCCTGTTCGAATTTGAGCGTTGGGGAGAAGAATAACAAAGATGGAGTTGTCAGCCCAAATAAGTCAATAAACCGATAAGTATTATCGATCCTTAATCTTACAAAAAAGAGAATGGTATTGTTTCTCAAGCTTGGCTTTATGGTGCAACACCCATATCATGCTTCCTTTTTTTTTTTTTCGTTTTTCCTTTTCAATGTCTATCGTTCTCTACGTCTTTCCATTTTCTATCGGTCCCTACTCTAACATTCCCACTCTTTCTGTCGCTCTATCAATATCTACTCTTCTCCTCCATTCTGTTTCTCTCTATCAATATCTATAACTTTCAAACTGTCTGCTTCTCACTATTGCTCTCACTCTTTTTTGTGTTTTTCTCTCTCAGTATCTACTGCTTATCACTCCATTCCGTTTCTGTTATTATTTCTCCCACTCTTAACGTTTCTATCAATATCTGTCGTTCTCAATCTTCCTCTTTCACTGTATCAATTATTTTAATCATCTCACCCCAAGCAAGGCAAATAAAAACATTAAAACGCAGAGGCTTACTTTGTTGGAAAAATATGAGAGAAAGAAAGAAAGAAAACAACATGATTACGGAACGAGAACATCAAAAGAAGAAGAAAAAGACAGAAGTTAACAATTGGCGTTGCATTAAAATTTTTGAAGAACAAACTTGACTGGAAAGCAAGAAACTGGAAGAGAGTTCTACAAACGAGAAATGCGAGAAAAGAAACTGTTAGCATATAACATCAAGACGTTTCAACTGTAAAATGACGAGACCTTGTCGCCAATCTAGTACCACGCTTAAATTCATAATGTCTAGACACAATAAAGGATAATTACCGTGAAAGCACAGGTAAGTTACATTACGGCGATAGGAAAGTAACTGGTTAGAATCAATAACATTGCAGATTCTTCTTTGGATTTTATCAATGATATCGAAATATATAGCAGGATCACCAAACCATGTTTGGCAGCAATATTCAAAGCACGGGCGAATGGTAGACTTATAAGCGTATAGGATAGATTCGGACGAGAAGATTTAGCCCAAGAAGGCACAATGAGTTAATCTCTTGGAGGTTAGCATCAACCATGCTAATGGAAATTACAAAAGGGTTATCTCAGACGATTAATAGAGAGCAGGCAAACCATTCCTTGTCATAGTTACCAGCAGAATATGTGATTTTTGAGACCAGCTGCCAATGGATCATCTTATTATAAAACGCAGATTGTGTGTATGTGTGTGTGTGTGTCTGTACGTTTATATATTGGATCGGATTTCCTACATTTTTCAACCGATTTCAACAAAACTTCACAGGACTGCGTAAAATTACCTTGCAGTGGTTCTGACAGCGCCAAAAATTGGAAAAACACAATTGCTTTTGCACGAAATCAATTTGAAAACACGATTCTGTCACCAGAATGAAAGGGGGACAACTCGTATCGAGTTATACTTATAAAACCCAGGTTGTTTGTATGTGTGTGTGTTCGTTTATATATGGGATCGGATTTCCTACATTTCTCAACCGATTTCAACAAAACTTCACTTTTTTTGGCAGGTAGTGTTTCTTATTGTCTTGCACACTTTTTTCTTCGGCATAGCCTCGTCCGGGTTCCTCTCTGCCCGAAGGCAGAGAGTTCGACCATATAGCTGAAAAGATTTCAGCTAGTATATTTAACAGCCCCACTACGAGAGTCATATGTTGCACAAGGCCGAGTTTATCGTGGGTTCTCCGTGCTCGTAGGCTCGGCCAAAAATATTCCATTCGAACCCTTATAAACGGGTTCAGGGTCGGTCTACCTTCCTGAACGAGACTCTGCCCTTCGGCTGAGCCTCGACCGGGTTCCTCTCTGCTCAGAGGCAGAGAGTTCGACCGTCTAGCCGAAAAGATTTCGGGTAGACTCCGTAGTCCGTTGACTTATCGATACTTATAGGTAGATACTACCTATAGTGTAGTCACTCATGGGGGTGACAGGTCATTCAATTACATCACACCTCAAATTGAGTGAAGAGAGGTGGGATAGAAGACGTACTCTTATTTAATTAGAGATTCGCCAGCAGTAATGAGAGCCAAATCATTCTCTCAGCGAAATTGTTGCTACCCTTTCTGTCTCCCTCCCTCTGTCAATACCTATTACTACTACCCTTTCTGTTTCTCTCTATCAATGTCTGTTGCTTTCACTCTTTCAACTTGTCTCTTTCAAAATCTATTGCTGCCGTCCTTTCCCTTTCTCGTTATAAATATCTAGCGTTCCCATCATTTTCGTATCTGTAAATAAATATTCTCGAATTAATAAATAAAGAAAAAATGTACGCCGATGCTGGTAAGATCTACAATACGAACGGATCTATTGCTAGTTACATAACTTTTCTAATATTGTTCCACTTTCTCTATTTTATTATTAGTTAATTTTGCTAATCTCTTATTGTGGCTAATTTATCAATTAAAATTTTCTTTGTTTTAAGTGAGCGGAAAACACGTGTCAACAATCTTCTGTTTTAAAATCGACAGAGCTTCGTTCAAGGTAGAGTATTATTCAAATTGTAAGATTGATTACTTGTTTATGTGACTGACGTCCAGACAACAAGGGAGTGAGTTTATTAAGTGGAAGAGCTACAGTTCCCTGAAGATTTAGAAGCCATTTTTCCTTTTGGCAATGACGTTGATGTCAGTCGGTAGAAGCCGCCAGAGGCAAGACAAACTTTTTGCAATCACCAAGAATAAATGCAAAACAAAAAATAAAATACTTTTGTCTGTTTCGTTTCTTTGTATTTTTCATATTTTTTAAAGATAGCTATGAGTATGCAAAATCGGTCTATATCCTAGAGAAGAATCATTGCCATTCCAAGTTTTGTTCATAGACATTAACCATTTCTTTGTGCTGCTGATGTTACAGCAATATAACTCTTTGTGAATAATTCGCTTTAATAAAACGACGGAAAATTTGGTAAAATTTTAAAGATCAAGACATTGTGACCTCTCCACATAAGCAGTCTGAAAAGTCATATCGAATATGAATTTAAAACTATTTCAACTTTCAAGATGAAAAAACTATGATCAACAACATGGCACATACATACATAGGTGCATTCACGTATATATATATATATATATATCTCAGAATGTAATGAGAACGAAAATAATATATACATTCTAACGTTCACAGCATTAATTCAAAAGAGGGCTCAATACCAATAATAGAGCAATAATTATTTATTATAATTTTTTCATATAAACAATTTTCTTTGACGTTTCACATGCGGCTTGCTTACAAACAGAATTGTTTAAAATCATTTTGGTTCTCACCAGTCGAAGTGCAACTTTAAATGCGCTGAAACAAAGTTGCATCTTTGTAGTGAGTAAAATGTTTTTCTCTATATGAAAAAATTATAATATAACAAATCAAAGTATTGGTAAAACTTGCAAATGCAACTTCGCCAATTTTATTGTCTTCGTCTTTCAACTCAGATATGTGGATGGAATTAATCAGATAATCAACTGCACTGCAACCCTACGACCACATCCGGTCATAAAATTGATGATGATTATGGGACAATTGTATTTTTTGAAGCATCATTTTTGAATTGCATGTGAAAGTGTTTCATTATGCAATTATTCTTCCTCATTGTTAATTAGTTTTCTAATTTTACATGTCATATCCTTTCAGGATGTCATCCAGGATGTGCAAGTAGTGTCATAGATAACAGCTGGAATGAAAATTCGTAGAACAGAGTTCGAATTCCAGTCACATTCATTTATGTGCAAATATCTTTCTCCACACTGGCTATGTGTTAAATAGATAGGCTAAGCTCTTTAACCTTGGATGGCAACCACGCCAGGAGAAGACATGAGGCTAACAACTTCATTCTTTAAAAAACTGCTTGTTACGGGAACCACAGTAGCAACGTTGTTGAAAGCTGTGACCCCATACCTCACATTGCAGTCTACAGGACTTGCGTGAGTTCAGGATGTGGATAATTATGGCTCTCAACAACATCCTGTCCTTTGTTGCACTAAATAACTTTTGCCCTTTTAAAATTGTTCTTTGTTCTGCCATCAATTCACTCAGGCTCAAACTCAAGCCTACTCCTTTTGACTTCTGTATGTCCCGTCAGTGTTAAATGCTTCAAGCCATTCAAGAACACGCCTACTACTTCCCTTGCAGAGTGGTAGGAACCCCGCCAAAGGGTTCACCTTCTGGTTGGATATACGTAGAGTCTAGATTAAAACTGGGCTTCAGGTGCCACAAGTTTTGTTGTTATCGCCGTATACAACGATCTTTTCGCCTCGACTGAGAATAGTAACGAACACGCCAAAGACAGGAAAGAGAGAAACACTTGGCATTTTCTAAAACTGATAATTAACAGTGATGCGAAGAACACTAGGCAAATGACAAACACACTGAAACAGAGGAAATCGTACAAGAAAGTATGTATAAAATATTAGCTACGTTTCTCGGTCAAAAGGCCGAATTGCTTCCCTATCAAAAGGGCCGGCGAACTGTTACTTAATGGTGATGCAAAAAGCATTAAACACATATAAGCCGTATCAAAGTAGAGATTAAATCACACAATAGAGAATGTATAAAATATTAGCTAGGTTTCTTGGTCGGAAAGCGGAACTGATTCCACCTCAAAATGACCGGGGATCGGACAGATACTACACTTTGATGCGAGGTAGAAGAGCGTGACGATCAAGCAGAATAATAGCATACATGCTAACCAAATATCTCCAAGTTCTACCCTATCACTTCCTATAATCCAAAATACACGAACATTTATTTCTTCCCCGTGTTGCACAACCCCCTCGCTGACCAGCAGATACATAGCTCCAGTGGTCAAGTGGTCATTTCTGTAAACACTTGAGTAAATTGCCATTATCTCTTGGTTACCGGTCGCAATGAGAAATAGGCGAGGGTGCAGCCGGTAGGGCACGACTGACGGCGGGTGGGAACGAGGCCAAGAAACGAAGTAAAGAATGAAGAACGCAACGCCGATGTATTACTACTAGACAACGAATAACGGAATTAAGTAGCGGTCAGTTGGCCGAAGCAGTGACCAGTACTCGGCTGACCATCACTTTTACAAACTGTCCATTGTGAAGGCGAGGACTTATTGCAGGAAAGATCGGGAGGGCGCGTAGCGAGCCAGGCCAATTTCAGTTCTGTCATGGAAGAGGCTGATGAAAATTTCTAAAGTAGAGGGGAATATGCCATGCTTAGACAGTACACAGACCAACGGGCAGCGAGCTAACGTCATTATCTCCATCTAACGATGGATTCATATCGAAAGTATAACTCGGTAAATGAATGTTCGGTGAATTTCCGCGCAAGTAGAAATTTTCGGTGTGTGCGCGCGCATCAGGGAAGCGAAACGTTTACCAGAAACGGTGAATCGGGTTCAAGTTTTTGGCTGAATCAGTTTAGCAATACTAGCCAACTTACCCGTCCTCCGAACAGAGAGAATTTGTCATGAAGTTTTCTTATGTCTATAAAGATTTTGCATAAACATTATCAGCATGTCATCTATTTTATAAATTCTTTCTATCATTATAAGTTGACTTAAATTTCCTTCCTTTCAAATAGCTACATAGAGTTAACTATGAGGAAATACATTTGAATAATTTTTGAAGATTTAGATGAATTGTAAGAAATAAAAATTGATTCAGAAAACCTATTTTTTCATTTGTTTAAATAATTCCGTACATTTTGAAAAAATCTAATTAAACAGATTATTTTAACTTATTGAGATAATTCGATAAGTGATTTTTTCTACTCTGTTCGACTAATTTGTAGTATTGTGAAATAGCAGATGACAACAGTGTTTATTATGAACGCCGTAGTGTTTCTAACTTATAATTGAATTTGGACAAGGCAGATATAAATTCTTTTTGTATAAACATGAGGAATTTAAAAAAAGAAACCTTGCAGAAACCTTGTTTATATATGGTAATTTTAAAATTAATTCTCTCATTGGATTACCCCCCATCGGATTACCGTAAGGACCCTCACTCCCAACATAAAATGGAAAAATTTACACCGGATTACTCACTCAAAAACATTCCTTGGAAGTGTTACCTGATGATCCGGAGTCCTTCAAAAAGGATTTTGGTGAAATAAATTATTGTAATGGTACCTTAAAGTAGTCTGTTTTTTCATTAAATATTAGCTCTGTATTCACATTGAGCTCTCAGGATTTCATCCTCCTTGGAATTACCCATTCGGTTTACCAAGTTCTTCGTAACTTATATATATATATATTATATATATATATATAAAGTCTGACAGTAAATCCTTCATCTGTTAGAGGCCGTGTATTTAATCTTCCCCAGCCCGTAGTGACACAAGGTCGGTTTAATGTTGGAAACCCGATGCGTGCACTCGGGCCAGGTGCAAAAATTTCACAGCCCCCGCAACGGAAGGTTGTGCTGGCGTTGGGATCACTACCAATCCCTACTACTTTAAGCAATGTGGATGGTGGTGCTGCAGGCAGCTGTTTCCCGCGATTGTTGCACCTCACAATATTTTTCAGTCGATCTCTGTCCCAAATCAGAGAAACATTTGAGAGATGGTAAGACAAGCATCAAAACACCGGGTCGGGGGAGGAGCTACGGCCTGGGCTGTTTTGTTCAACTGATGTAAGGTTGGGACACACAGACAAAATTTAACTTTACGCGAGTGTATAAAAGAAAACAAGATTGGAAAGTCTAAGAATTCACTTCCTCGTACGTGTTGCCCAATCAGAAAAGGCTTAATCTATTTGCATCGCTATTGATTGCGATAACTATTTTCGTGCGATAAAGAATATTAACAATAAAATATGTGTAAAAATTAAGGGTATTCTGATGTAGACTTCGAAATGTATTAGATACAGTCTGTCGGGACAAAGAAAAAAAATGAACAGTTATATTTTGTTAAGTTGCGAGGTGTGATCTGAAAATAAAATGGAAACAAAAAGGACACTTAGAACCAGAAAGAGGCATAATGAAGAAGGAAAAATTAGAGAATCTGACACCCACAGGACATAAAACGGGACAGGGGAAGGCTGCGGGTTAGATACCTGACGAGCTGTGAATGGATGATGTAACATGAGGTGGGAGGGATAGCAAAGAGACGATCCTTGCTGAGAGCTACAAGGGATGGGACGCTGTAGAGAGCCATGATCGCCCAAGGAAGGAACACGGCACACAGAAGAGCATCATATGATGTAAATAATAATAATAATGATAAAAGAAAATATCTTTTTTAGTACCACAGATTTGCTTGCCAGCTGCCT